CTCCTAGAAGAATTTCAGTACGTCAATGTGCCGAAGCCTGACACTCGAAACTAAAACACATGGCCATATCTCTCAGTGATCTGCTCTAAACATCACTGCTGCCCATGTGTTTTATCTTCAAGTACCGGGTTTCGGCACATTGACCCAGTGATGTTCTTCTAGGAGCAGGTGAACTTAAAGAGGAACGATTAAGTTCAACTCTAATTCTCTTCCCATTTTTTTGTAATTTTAGCTACTCTGTAATTTATAAAGTTGTTAGTTACTTCATTGAGTATGTTGCATTTATTCAGTGAACGTAACTAACGACTAATTGCTTTGTTTTCTGTAATATTTAAACAATTTCTTAATTGCTCTTGCATGTAAGTTTTGTTTGAATCCTATGTTTTCGTCACGAACGTGGCATACGGGCCGCGGCAACGCACGAGGCGGTTATCGCGCTCCTACCCGCCTTGTATTCGAACGCTCTGGTTGGTCGGTAATTTTTGTTAATAACTCGATAACCACGCCTCGGACGACTTTTTTGCAAAGGAGAAAGTTGTTTAAAATCACCATGGCTCCTCCCCATATCAAGGCCTAACACTAGTTCTGGGACACCCTGTATAATTGGATTGTATACTATATTATAATGTGTCATACATCGTCAACGAGATGCATACTGCGCGAAAAAGTATTCAGGCCCCAGCGGTCATCAGCGTCAGCCGCGCACCGTCCGTACGGACCTGCATACGCCACGAGTGCTCAGTACGCAAAAGGTTAATTTTGATTTGGATTCCAAATATTAAAAAATTGGATTGAAAAGAAAGCAAAGTGTAAAATGTCAGACTTCGTTTGGGTGGCCAGAGTTTGAGCCGGGCAGGAGTTTGAACAAGAATAACTATATCTTTGGGTGGAGACGTACTGACAACCCGAACCCATCTCACAACGCTTTGGCTTCTCTGCGCATGGGAAAGGAAAGATCCCAATGTCTTTCAAAAGACAGGCCGCCCAGGATTCAGATCTCAAGCCCTGGTCACTTGCTTGACCAGGACTGTAGTTTCCTCTACTGCTACCTAAGTAAAATTTGACGTGTAACTGCTATTCGCGACTATTAAACCCGAGCAAAATTGATTGAAATGGATTCGAGAGAGAAATAAAGTAAAACTCGCTTGCTTTTAAAGTGTAATTTAAATGGGAAAACAGATCACATACCCAACATTTAAAGCAAAAACCTTTAAATGATAAAAGATGGGCCTACTCGTATACCTAGTCTGTGATATAACAATGCATTTACGTATTGAACGTTGAATTGATATTGAGAGATGATACGAGCAAAACACTGCCTGTTGGTATTTGCCAACAACGTGAAAGCTCCTCCATACCGATGAAATGAAACATTTGACGTTGCCTCGAGCACGTATAGCTCCTTATCAAATAGGGCACAAATCATTTTTGTATCGAATAAAACGAATGCGTATATCAGTTTTATGTACTCCTGAAAATCCTAGTGTAGAAAGGACTAGCAAAATGCCAAATGCTGATTAAGAAGTAGATAAACTAATAATTTTTAATCATAACTTTACCAAAATCATTGCCTTAATCGAAGGAATTTCTTACGTCTATTGATAACGCTGATATATATGTAAGTAAATGTAATCATTTTATACTGAGGAAAAATTCGTTGAATCTTTTGTCTTATACCAACTTATGTATAAAGGGTATAGCCGGTTAAGTGTATAAATAGTTAATAACCTGATAAAAACTGATAAATTATACTTACGTTCATATGGATTTACCATAAATGTATGAATCTAGTACTCTGCTAATTTCTATAAGAAACTGAAAATTGGTATCAAAATATTCGTTTTAATAGCATTTAATTTGGCTCAATGGTTTCTTATCCAACTGTACCCTTTATTCCTGATGTGCTTTATGATACCTAAGTTACCTTTAATTACACGTTATTATTATTTGTATGTCAAATTGCAAAACAATTTGTTGTAGATAGCTACAACTTTAAAAAAGTTACATCCTGATTTATTATTTATAATTAATATTTAAGTATTTCTAGTTTTTAGATTTTCTATAGAAGTTCCTCATTATAAATTGATCGGATTGTCAAATAGGAACGTGAAAATGATAATTAGAATGAATGATTACAATGTATGCGCGTACAAATGTAGTTATACACTCCCTTGTTTTCTTTATAATAAACATAAAAATATGTATAAATAGCTAAAGCTAAAACACCAAATGGTCGCAGGCCGATCAGTATGCTCTTTGATCATTAGCATTAAGTGTATGTGTGTATATGTATATGCTGTTGTTCATGGGTTCAATTATTTTTAGTTTTACTTCCAATGTCAAAAATTCGTGCATTATTTGCAAGTAACTAGCAATTCATCTATAAAATTATATTAGCTTGCAATCATGTGAAGAACATACAAAAATTTTAACAAGAAACAATTTTTAAATGAGATGTTTTTACGCTTAGGCGAGTCCTTTTTTTTCCACTCTTGTCCGTAAAAAATAAAGATGGTTTTCATCTTTCACTTTTGAAAAAGAACACTTTTTTCTTTTACAAAAACTGAGTACGTATGAAGTGGAAAATGTATTGAAAGCAACTCATTTCCACTTCCCGCAGGAGTTGAAAATAAAACGATAAACCAGTTAGTGGAAGATTATAATTATTAATAAACGCACACAAGCGCGAAGAATGTTCATAGTGAAAATATTATAAAACGACAAAAGATTGAATTATTAAATTGTAAATTATTAAGTCTTAAGGACCTGTTTTTCTAGTAATAACCTGATTATTTATTATTCTCTCTTTAGAACTTCATATATTTCTCAGAATTTTCATAAACGTGCATATGTAAACTCATAGATAGCACT